TTTAGAGTTCAGGTCTCGCAACGGGATCGTCAAGCCGTTTCCTGAGCACTTCGCTATAATCGATTGTAGCTTGTGGTATTTGTACGAAATAATGAGTTTTTCGTAAGTCATTCCCCGGTGATTAAGAATTTAAGTACAATAAGTTCATTTGTGTTCATCTATACTTATCTTAAATTGCACTATTTCGGGAACTCCTCGTTAGTGCGACAATTCAAACCATTCTATTCACTACAAGCCTCTTGTAGAAATGATGTTTATTGTCGTCGTTGCTATCATAGATTGATCCACAACAATGAATAAAGTTCATCCTGATTCTTTTCTCCATCCTTTTGAAAGATTATATGATTATCCTGGATCCACGGGTGTCTATTTCTGTAACTGAATTACGTGCTTCTTTGGAAGGCATCAGAGCAACTCCTTGAGTTTGCGAATCACTTTCATCTTAGTGAATGGAATGCAGCAGCGCCTCGCTAAAGCTAATCTTTTCTTTCCAGTTTGAGCCCGATGGCTTTTGCTGATTCCGAGTACTTCCATGTTGTATCTCGTTATTTCCGTAGCTATTTGACTGATACCCCCGGTCTCCGAAATTGTCCGGACACTAAACAAACCTATGTTAATTATCCCTCTGGTTGTTATAAATGGCATGGTCCTTATGACTTCCGGACAATCTAGTCTTTCACCTTGTGGTATCACAAATCTTCGGAATGAAGATATTTTCACTCAGAGGGCAGAGTTTAAACGGTCGAAATTGTTTATTTTGGTCAGCGGATTTTTAGAAAGGTTGTTCTCTATGGGATGTGGTTGCCGACACTATGCCCAAACTTTCTTCATTTACCTGGATTTAGGACCGAGATTAATTTTGGAAGTGCTACAAGCCAAGTTGCAAACATAATAATTTATTGACATTTTTTATTTTCTTCTTTAAATTCAGCTTAATATTCTTCTAAATTCTACAAAACCCGTTCAAATATGGCAAATATTACGTAAAAATTATTGAAACATGCGTAATTGCGTTTCCGTAGTGGTTTCTACTTCATAACACCTACATACCAATAATCATATTAACTACTAAAAATTCTGGTTCTTGTAGTATTGGGTTGACGCATTCGACAATGAGTAGACTGAAGGAAAATTGTAACTGCAACAAGCGTCCAAATATAACTGAGTACATCAAGAATTTCAAGATTTTTAAAAGCGTTGATGTTCGACGTACAGTGACGGGTGTGTTAGCGTTTGACTTCTAAGTTGTCTAGTCATTGGAGGTGTGTTTCGTGAATAATGGAGACCTGAACCATCGCAATTGCTTTGCTGATTGGCTCCAGAAAATGATGGGTTAAGTCAAAGTAACATGGTTGTCATCATTGTCAAATGCGTAAGAGCGTTTTCTTTCCGGGAATTTCCTATCTCGACAGTTTTTATACTTGGAGGGCAGATAACAGCTTGCCAATAATGATTTATTTGAGAAAATACCTCGAAGAGAGGTAACGTACACACAATATGATCAATCTCATATGTGCTTGTTGTATGGAGTCAACTAATTGATGCGCGTTAGTTATCATTGTCCTTGATTACTTATTGTCAGTAACTTAACGATCTTCAATCAGTATTTCAGATTGGGTTAACGTTAAACTTGACAGTTAGTTTAATTTGGGCTCAGTGTTATCTCCCTAATCCGCCAGCTTATTAGCTAGAGCCCTATCATGTTCAAGATCATCCTAAAACACAACCTTCGGATTCTTGTCAGTCAGATTTCCAAATTTATCCAAAATGAATGATCTACCCGTGAAATCTAGTTCTATAGGGATTGTGCTTCCTTAATCTGAACTACTGACATTTTTGTTTAGCATCTCTAATTATTCGCCGACGCTCAACGGTATGGAATCGAGAAAACTCACTATGACTGAAAACGTTTGCCGAAATTTTTTTAATTTCTTCAATAAAACAACAGGATATACTAATTTCTAAAACAAACAAACGGTTAAAGTACACTGAATATGTGTTTACAGTAGAATTAATACCATTTAAAACCTTTATATGAATTTGATTAAAATGCTGAATCGTTGAATTTACAGAGAAGTTGATGGGTACCATCTTTGAATACATTATATGGCTTTCATAAAGTGCGTTTGCGTTTCTACATCGACATTATGAGCTACTGATGTCAATAATTCTACGGTCATATTTACACTAGATATACTTCAAAAATATAAAAATACTGATTCCTAATTTATGAAGATACAATCATTCAATGATGTATGATTATTTAGACCATTATGTTTTATCAAGCCTTAACTATTCCAGATTCATTATGTAACCTTCCAATGACATGAATCAAATTCTTGTATCCATAGTAATCAATAATCTATTGAATCTGTACAAACCTATTCAATGTAAATAATAATTGAATGAACATATAAAATCTGTAGAAAAAAAATAAAGTGCTTATCACAAAAAAGTATGTTTGTTTATATTTCGGGGGTAAGATGAAAAACCAAAAAAAGGAGGTTGTAATTATCATAGAGTAATCACGTGTATTGCCTGGAATTTGTAATTCTAAATTGTTTGAATTTACTAGAAGCGCAAATATTTCAATAATTTGAAAATTATGAAGAATGTACTCTTAACAGCATAATTTATTGGTTAAATATCTATATTTACTATTCGTTAGACATTTCATAGGAATTAGAATATAACAGGGGAATAAGATTATTATGTTAATCAAATATGGATAGTGGCTAGCAGTGGAATCTAGTTTGACGCGCGTTTCGTTTTATTTAGGACTCGTCACCTAGATGTACCTGAATCTCAGAGTTAATGTTCACTCTGGGACTCGAACCCAGTACCGTCCGCTTCAAATCCCATCACGCTATCTACTTAGCTACTGATTCCTGATAGCCACCTGGTTGTGCAATGAAGTGAAGTTTAAATTTACTTGGTGTTGTTTTACTTGTATCTTCCCATTTTTATTTAGGACTGCAATTAATCAGTCTCTTGTTGGTATATGTGCATGCTGTGCGGATGGCCTCGATATAGCCTTGAGTCATAAGCTTTTTAAGCAATGATGGATAGTGGCTAGCTTAGGAATATAAGATTACTATTTGTTACATCATACTACTATAATATAACCTAAGATTCTGCTGTAACTAGATACTCGGACGATACAATATACATAAACTTGATCAGGTTAGATCAAATAAATGACCAAAATAGGTTACCAGACTATAAGCTAGACAATATTTTAAATAACAAACCTACAGACAGTTCACAATCAATGAGATCCGATCAGGAACTAAAGATAGATAGAAAGGAAACTGAACATTGAACTGATTGTTTGTTTGTCTATGTTCGATGTCCAATCACATATTACCCATACTAATCACACATCAAATTACTTGTAGTTAGTAGGTGATGCTACAACAGAACAGCTACAGACAATCAGAATTTGCAACGTTCGATAAGAAGTGTTATCAAAACAGAAAGTAACATCAACTTTTGAAGCCACTGTCAGTTTGAGGTGCCATCGATGTCCTAGAAAACAACAACTCGGTAATTCAAATGATAAGTTTATAAAGTAGCATCAATATGACAGACATAAATCGACTTACACGTCACAACATATTATTTCGCGTTGTTGTAAAAACATTTTCAAATTACGTTAAGTGTAAAACTTATATTTTGATTATCCAGTCAAATACAACGTAGGACCTGGCACATATATGCATCGATCCAAGTTGCCGCACCTCATTAGCACAACAAGATGAATGTGATCTGTAGAGTTTCCAATGAATAGTCAGTATGTAAGTATCCAGTATATTCATTTCAATAAAGAATGTTGGTTAATCAAATTAATGTCGACTATCGTTGAGCAAATGAATACTGAGATAACTCATATCGGTTCTTATCATAACACTGTTTAAAGTTATCTTTTCGTATTGAAAATATCATTCAGTCAGTCAGCTACAACGTAGGACCACGCACATATATATATCGATCGAAGTTGCCATACCTCAATAGCACAACAAGTTCAACACCAAATTCATAGTAGTTACTTCAATGGTATTAATGTATAAAAAAGGTTGTAAATAAAGATATAGTATAGAAATAAAGAATTAGTTCGTCGAAAGAAAAGTATAAAACAATCTTAATCTCACGATTCAAGGGGAGATAAAGAGTGTATACACCTACACCATAGTGATCAATTATGAGCCATGTCATCCAGAGTTTCCAACCATTTGGTTACAATAGTCTGAGCAAATGTTGTTGCATGTCGAACTGTATTTATTCATACCAGTTAAAAGTATAAAAGAAATTTTCAAACTAAATTTCACATTGATCTATGAACACTTGTGTAACATAGAAAATAGTAGTCTAGTTACAATTCTGTATTGTTCTTATCTAGTCACTTGAATATTCACTAACAAGACTAAAGTTAGCACAAATAAATAAAATAAAATAAACAGACCTCATTTGTATCACTTACAAAGGAACATGAGATAGAATGAACTAATCTCTCTGTATTTTCATAATTAATAACACACTCATTTAAATGATGTTAATAATAACAATACTACTATTAAACTACTTATACAATTGTCTATATTGAATTAGACAACATCACAGTTATGAAATCATTCATCCTTCTATGATTAATGTTAAACTATTTAAAGGTAATAAATCATATTCCACCCATCAAATAGTATGAGCTCATTAAATAAATACCAATTTCATTTAGATTTATAATTAAGATGTATATATATATATATATATATATATATATATATATATATACTAATGAAGATGAATAACTCCGCCTGGACCTAGGACAGATTGGGTTAGACAATGATGGTCAGTGACCTATACTCCATTAGGAGTAACAAGCATTAGTCATTAAGTAATGAAACTGAATACAATTTGTTTTATATATATATGAATAGAATAAACAATGTTAATCATTTCATGAATATCCCTTTACTTCTTTACTTTAAATTAAAACAAATGCAGAAGTAAGAAGAAGGAGAAAGAAACGAAAAGAAAAGAAAAACTTCAACAACAACAACAAAAATAACAAAATAGAAAATCAATAAATCTCGAAACAGGAAATCACAAAGGTAACTAATAGAAATAACAAAAGTAACAGATACCATTTTCAAACAAACAACAAAAATGGGCGCGAAAAAACAAAACACAATATACATATATGTGGTATTTACACAATTGAATATTGAATTCAAATTAGATAAAGCGGGAATTCAATTTGAATGATTCTTTGGACAAAACATCATTATCTTGATCAATCTCATCATTGTCATTATCATCATCATCATCCTTTATTGTAGTCATAGTAGTAACAGTATTCATTAAATCAATATTATAATTATTTATGATATAATATTGAAAATATTGTAAAATTTTATCAAGTTTTTTAATAAATACATCAATTTCATATTCATTTTGACCAATTGATGAAGCTGCATTAATATATGGTCTAATAGATGTGGAACTATGTGAATTAAATCCATCAAATTCATAAACATCTAATTTGATAGAATTTTGCATAGATGCCGGTAGAACAACTCTAGAAATCAATATAAAAACAAAATGAAGTAACATTATATTTAGTACTTACTTAGTGAGAAGCTGTGACTAGTGGAGCTAATCCGTGTTGGGTTAAGACAGGTATGAAAGATGGTCACGTAATTTCATGGATTGGTTGAATTTGGACATTAATACCGTTAGATGCCGACCGGCTCAGTGGTCTAGAGGTTAAGTGTTCGCACAGGAAACCGAAGGACCTGGGTTCGAATCCCACGAGCATGATCGTGAATGCGCACTGCTGAGAAGTTTCACAATAGGACGAAATGGCCGTCCAGCGCTTCTAGGTTTTTGATAGTGGTCTAACATCAATCGGTTCATGATCGCAATCAAATATATATGTGTCAGTTCAAGTTGTTAATGGTATATATTAGAACAATAAGGTAAACTATAAGATAGAAGAAATATTAGGAAGTCTTAAAAGTGGGACATTATGAGTTCAATATAAAATAATTTCTTCGGAATAGGAAATCAGAAGATTGTTATGAATGTGCATTCCTCGCAACAAAAAAAAACCTTACAGTACAGTTATATGAAATTGATTATATACAAATGCCCTGGTACGGCCGAGAGTGGGGAGAGTCCGCTCTCCCTCTCGAAATGCTGTCACACGGCCACGCGTATATAGCCTCTGCCAGGGAAGTCCTACTCACTGCCTTCTCAGGGCGGGGGTGTTGTTTACGAAAATGAGAGGACGAAAAGCGAATGTCCGGCGCTTTAACCGGATCACAAACCAATGGTGCACATGGGCTCCAGTATCCTGAGGGAACAAATGGCGTATGAACCGATTGTTGGTCACCGGCTTCCATGGGACTGCATCTCCTTACGATGCTCCACTGCCTTGTGGGTTAGACCTTTAGGTCGAAGGCTCGGGGTGTGGCCCCCTAAGAAAACCACCTGCTTCGGTTTGGGCACCCGGGTAGTATCACAGCCCTGACACATATCTAATGAGATTTGTGTGGCGCATATGTATTTGGTGCCTCTTTGTACCATTATCTATGTGTTGAAATAAAATAAAATATACAAAGAAGTTTAAATAACAATAATTTCAATGATAATAGAAAAAACCAAATCATGAAAATACCGTTTAAAAAAGAAGGAGTGGATTCATGGAATTAAAGTATTTAACTTGAAAACCACAAGATAAAACAATCAATGCATCCAAGTCACTCTGACGGATCTTGAACCACGTTATTTATGGTTTGTAAATATTAGCCTCAATCAGGTAATATGCGCACCTAAGAACATAAATTACAACAACAATCAATAATTTCATAGACTAATTCCATGTCTTAGTTCGGCTCTCTTTCGCTCTCTAGCTTTCTTCCAGCCTACCGTAACACTAAAAAGTAATGGCAATCAAAGTAAGCAATGAATAGGCTTACGTAAAACTTTTCTCAGTGGCAGATGGTTTTAAGTTATTTATAATTGATTCATGTTCATCTCTCTCCTGCAACGATAATCCTAAGCACATTACTTCTACATCATACCATACTTTGCTGCTAAATACACAAGGTTATTCTACTTAAATTCTGTCTTCATCAAATACCATACTTTTTCTAAACTACTGAATTCTTCTTGCGTTACATCGTATAACGATAGATGTTGAAGCGTTGAATGTGTTCTGTTTGATCATTAAGGATCTGGATAGACCAATAGGCTTTATAGTAATTTATGGTAGTTACTGATGATCATTTTTGTTATTGGTTAGACAAATCATCAGTCTGATAGACGTAAACTGAACTCATAATTAGTAGACTTCATAATCTAGTGATATAACTGAGTTGGACAGTATGACAAGCTTAAATTCATAAAATGAAGCCTAATACAATAACCATCAGTACTTAGTAAATGAGTTGCCATCTTTGTTTTATTATTATATATCTGAGTATAATGTATCTATTTACTTTACAACATGGTGACATGTAGAATAAAGATGAACTTGATAAAAGAGCAACAATTAAAAGGTATCTAAAGCATGACATATTGAATACGAGTAATGAAACGTGTTATTTCTATGATAAAGAATAAAATATGATGAAATGATCTGACTCATTCATTGATATTCAAGTTTCTTTTTGAGAGAATGTGTGTGTGTGTGTGAGAGAGAGAGAGAGAGAGAGACTGTAACCACGAACATCACATGATATGAGAATTTGGAACGTCAGATACTATGAATAAGTATTTCTAATTTTCTCACATTATAACAATGAAACACTTCTTATCTAATCTAAAACAAATCTCATGTTTTTATAATGAGTGACAATGTATGACCCTCAGTCAACTACAACGTAGGACCAGGTACATATATGCATCGATCCAAGTAGCCACACCTGATTAGTACAGCAAGATGAACACCAGCTTTCATAGAAGTAGTCGTTTTAATGGTAGTAATATATATAAAAGACAGATTGCATACAAAGATAGAGTATAGGAAGAAAGAATTACTTCGTAGAAAGATATAGAGCGATTTTCATCTTATAGTTTAAGGGAAGACAGAAAGTGTATACACTGACATCATTGTGAACGATTTAGAGCCATGTCATCCAGAAACTCCAACCATTGATTAAGATAGTTACACTAACCTCAACCAAATAGTCTGCATCTACCAATATGACATAGCTATGAGAATAAAATTTGAAGCATTAGCTAATTCAAAAAAAAACACAATCGTTTACAAGTTAATCTAATCATGAAATTTACTTACCTTACACCTGAACATCCTTGTGTGAATAGATTAGCACCAATTTGTGTTAGTTGACGAAATATCTCTCTTTTCTGATTATCTTCTATCATGTTATTTTTCCCGAATTTCTGTATAGTAATTGTTTTAGGAAGAAGATTTTCTAAGCTTAATGCTAATGAAATAGGATTGGATGAAGTATCTAATAATTTTAAATTAAATTTTTCACTTAATTGTTTTAATCCATTATGTAATCGTTTGAAACATATAGATTGACGTTGAATTAAATCATTCCAACCTTTATTACCAAGATAAAGTAATGTAGCAAAAGCATCCAATGTTGGTGATCCTGAAGCTCGACCTATACATATATATAATGTTGGAAAATAAAAGCAGATATGAAAAGGATGAATAACAACTGGAAACAGCTGGAAAGGATTGCAAAAAACAAGGTTGAATGGAGAGTGCTGATGGGTGGACAGTGCTCTTTCACGAGGGGTAACAAGAGTAAGTAGTAGTACCAAGTACTATTCACGTATTATGTAAATTATATTAACGCTGGGTGTAAATTAGCAAGTTGGGTTTAGAGATTGATTAATGAAGCTGTGAACTATTGACAGAAAAAAGGGATTGTAATAGATGTCATGAATACCTATCTAACATTATGTGCTATGAGGTGCTAGTCAGTTGAGCGAAAACTGACAACTCCTAAAGAGCCAAGAAATAGTATTTGTCAATGAAATCACTAGTTTTTATTCTAACATATATCAGAAGGTATAGATTCTCTGTTATGGATTCATGAACAAGAAATAATCATTATTTACGGTAACAAATAAAGCATCTAGTAACAACATGGTGTAAACTGATTACAGTAGCACAGTTTCAATTATTCTCTAACTCTTGAATAAAAGTGTCACATACTATACTTCTAATCATTATATTACATTTGTTCATCTTTTTGCATTGATCTTCGATTGTTTAATTTCTTACTACCATTTATGGTATTCTCTCATCTTTTCTATACTTTTCATCTTATGAATCTTTCCTCATTGAACTCACATAACTAACAACGGACGACTTGTGTCCCAAACACGATTTATTGGTTATAACTGAAGTTATTTATGTATTAACTAACTATCTACAGAAATTGTTAGCGGAATATAGATTAGATTAAGGTACGCCTTGTGCAGGATTGCGTTAGGGTACACTGATTAACTATTTCTTAACCAATCAGCGTTAGAGGATACTTGGAGAAGACCCTATAATCTTCTTAAGTGAAGTTTATGAACATACTAGCGTTTTTAACATTGTGATTTGTACTAACATTCAACTTTGTTCATCTATAATACAACTGAGTTATTCTTTAAACATGTTTTGATTTGGGGACTCATCAAGTGAAATAGTATCCAAGACTACTAAATAAGAAGAGTAACTAAGTCGTAATAATAAAATTCATGACAGAAATGAAACTGTATAATCGACAATTTAAATTATAGTGAAATGTAGATTCAGTAACTTCAGTAACTCAAGTAATGATTCAGGTAAAAATAAGGATTAGTCCTGTTCGACCTATGTTGAATAACAATGGATGAAATAGAAATATTTTCAATAATTTGATAAGACGTGAACCAATAAACTTCTACTAAGTTAAAAAGAACTTTTTAATGGGCTATCATCAGAAGTATCAGTGAACAAGATGAACATTTTGACTCGTATGTTGATATTATTTCAAAGACCCAAACAATTTAGGAAACTGATACAATAAAATTGAAAATACACTACCTGTCGACTACCTCCAACCACCATCTAATCTCAATATATAGTGCCCGCAGTGTCGAGTCACCTAGACTGGTGGCCACATTGCAACATGATCGGTAGCATTCGATCTGCACTAATAAGGACTAGACACGCATGACATTGATCGCCACCCAGTGATCAATCAATTGTGATACACTACCTTCGCTTGGCGAGGGTGTTGTTTACGAAATTGAGAGGATAAAAAGCGAATGTACGGTCATTTAACCGGGTTGGTGGACACAGAAGGTTCGCCTAGGGGAGTTGGAAAACCCTGATTTAAAACTAATGGTACGCATGGGCTTCAGTATCCTGAGCGAACAAATAGCGTATGAACCTATTGTTGGTCACCACCTACCATATGACTGCATCTCCTGTTGTTGCTCCACTGCCTAGTGGATCAGATCTTTAGGTAGAAGGCTCCGGGTATGGCTTCCTAAAAAAAACCACTTGCTTCGGTTTGGGAACACAGGCAGTATCCCAGCCCTCACACAAATCGAATGATTTATGTGGCGCATATCTATTTGATGCCTTCTTGCACAAATGTTTATGTGTTTTAAAAAAACAAATAATAAAGACAAAACAAGAATTAATAAAGAACATTATTATCTTACCGGGATAAAGTTTGGCGACAAAATCAACTAAATCAGTAGAAAATCCACCGATTACAGCTCCACCAACTGGTACCATTAAATTTTTATCAGTACTTTGTACATATAACAAATCAACTGGTTGATTACTTGAATCTAAGAAATAATAAATATAAAAGTGATTTGTTGTTGAAGGCTAAATGTAAGGATAATGACTAATGTGCTAAACTCAACCCATTTAGTCAACAATGATGAAATGATTAACTCTTAACAACTAATAAAACTAATACAAAAAAACTCAATTCAAAGGTGTTGTATTAAGTGAGTTGGATGACTTAGTCATGAAACTCTCATTATCCCACTGGACAACATCAACAGTATAAACTTCAAAGAGGACTGTAATTAGAATTTCCCTACAACAGACTAATAGCTTGTTTTATTGACTTGGAATTCGGTTGATCTTTGTCTGTAATTATGTGGCTGTAGTTGGAATGTTTGTTTTGATTTTTTCCTTCGCTGACGTGATCTCTGACCTTCTAGTTGCTAATACGTGTTTTATTGGCTGATAGATCGGATTGATTTCAATATGCCTATTGACTGAGTGCCAGGTCTTTAAAAAATTCCTAGCCTTCTTTGTATTTCTTCTGTCTAATATTTCAACGTTTATCCAATCGAACGCATGTACAAAGTTGACCAAATGCATTGATACAACCACCTACATCAATTTACGTTATGTCATGGCGCTTAACAGCTGACTGGTTCTCATGTAGACATTGAGGGTGAAAGAGGATACTTTTTCAAATATGATACTCTTCATAGTTTTGCTTATTTGTCTTGATTGCTCGTTGCCGTATCCTTTGGCTTGTATAATATTGACTGAAACAGTTTTGCTGGCTCATAGGCTACATCTATTTCCACGATGAATTGTAATCCTACCTTCTATCAGATGGAAAACCGCACCGATGGGTAAGCTAACTTATCTTTTCGAATACTGCCTATACTTTTACTACATTTACCACTATGGGATTTGAATAGACAATTGTATCTCTGTGCTAATGTGGTATGGTAACTTGAACTGATGTACGTATGTACGAAGTTCTACCTTAAAAAAATTAATGATTTTATGCTACATACATATAGTATTAGTCTATATGACCTAGAAGTCAGAATCTCTCGACCTAATACACTTCAATAACATATTGACTATGAGAAATACGCTGTTAATAGTTGGGGGGGATACACTCGAGTTCCCCCACATTACCAATATTAAGGTGTATTGTACAACATACAATTTAACAGAATCAATATAAGTAATAGCCACTACCATGAAACAGATTTATATATATATGACTGAACATGTAAAACTCAGTTTACTGATACAATTGGACTATATAGCTACAACTGATAATAAATATTTAAAAGGGAAAAATAGTGCAGACCATGTGAATATGGTTTTGAAAATACTGAAAACTAGTAATTTTTTAAAAATTCACTTGATATTGTTTACTTGAATCGTCCTATTGATGTTCAGGACTCAGTAGCTAAGTGGATAACGCGATAGCGTCTTAAGCAAACAGTAGTGGATACGAGTCCCAGAGTGAACATCAACTCTGAGATGCAAGTACATCTAGGTGACGAGTCCCATATAGGATGAAACGCGCGTCAAACTAGATTCCACTGCTAGCCACGATCCATCTTTGCTTAGTAATTTTTTTTGTTTTAATAATTGTATGATCTATATAAATAGATGAAGGATAACATGGAAACAAGGAATTTTATATGTATTTAATGTCGTTTATATGGATAGCTCACTTCGTTTACCTTTTCGTCAATCAAATAATATTATATTTGATTTATTTATGAATGAAACAATAAACCAAACTTACTTGATGTGTTTAAATTGTGTTCAATGATTAATTTTCCAGCTGATTCAATCATCCGCATACATCTAGGTGATTGTACACCATAAGCATTATTGATTAAATGTGATACACCATATTTAATGCACAATTTAGTAATTGCATGTAGTCTACAATGTGAACGGGAGGGGGAGTCATTTTTTTATTTTTTAAAAAAGGTACACAACACTTTTTTAGATAAGAAACAAAAACTTAAAATACTGAAGATAATTTAATAAAGATGATTATCTATTCGACTATTTCATTTAATTAAACAATATTCTTAGTTAATTCAAATCCTGTGGGGTAAGATCATGGATGCGCACTGTTAAGGAGTCTCACACTAGAGCCGAAACGACCGTCCAGTGCTTTCAAGTTTTCCATAGTGATCTAGATTTAATTGACTCATGATCTCAACTATTGAAATTACTATAAATATTCACAAAACCCCTTTTGATATTAACAAACTTACTTATCTGGAACTCTAGGTGCAAAACAATTTGTAGTTGTAAAAATGCACACAATATCATCAGATGTAGAATTTTCTATCGACTTATCATCTACATTATAAGCTTGTGCTGCATCTGGCCAGTGATCTAACAAATATTTAGCAGGATTTTTTAATGCTATCTCTAAAGCATCAAGATTTGAGCAAAGTTGATCATTTGAAGTATCTGTGACTAATTCAATAGGGATAGGTATTAATCCTGAAGAGAAAGAAAAAAAGATAAGAAGAAGAATACATATAATTCAAAGACTGCAGTATAATGTATTGATTAAAACTAGAAAAACCACCTGATGTTTCAATAAGGGATGATAAGTCAGCTGAAAATGTGATGAGATGATGATTCAATGAATTACTAACAAAATGGACCTATCTGAATCAATATAGCTACGCTATAAATATGCAGGAATTGTAAGTACTTTTATTACCCCCTTTTGGTGATTAAGATTTCTAGGTAATTCTTAGTTGTCTGTCCAGTTCGATTGGTTAAGCGTAAAGAGTATACACAGTAACTAAACTAAACTGTGAGAAATAATACTGTAATAAAATTAATCTGTTTATACTTTAGTGTTGACGTCAACACCTTGCATTTGTGCACTAAATCAACATAGACTTTAATTTAAGAATTATCATAGAACCTTGTTCAATACCATGTTTAACAAACAGCAACAAAAATCTTTTGTAACATCGAAGACAAATAAATTTTACCATCAAACGGCGAAAGATGATCACAGAATTTATGGATTGATAACATATTTCAAAATGAGTACCGTTCATAATTTTTGAACTACCTTCTACTTACTTTAAGGAAGACAGTGAGTCAAGTCAGACGACGATCGTGGACAAACTCAATCAAATGACGAAAGTTCACGACTTTAGGAACAATTCGCTATTGTCAGTTTTTTTTATCTAAACCTAACATCAGGTTCGTTCATCAGTTGGTTTTATGTTGTTTGAACAATGATATAAAAATACCTAAGGAGAAATATTGACGTAACTTTTCATTTATTGACCATTTATAATAGCCCAAGAGAACAGATTGCATTCCTATCTACCATACTTGGTCTCTAATAGGTGGAAAGGTGCGTATGTGTTTTACAAGAAAAACTTCCGAGAAAAAAAATTATCAAAATCAGAGACCGAAGGAGAAATCTCATTGCATAAGGATACTGAAGAATGTATCCCATGTACTGAATAAACCTATGGTACTTGCCGTTTAATGTGTCTTTGAGTTTAACAAGAACGAAATTGATCTTTCGACTTTTCTAAGTATCGAACTATAGTTTATTTACCCTGGAATGAGAAAATCGATGTATTTGTGACGTTCTATTTCGTCGATGAGATAAGAAAGGATTCCCTATTTTTGGTATTTCTCAATAACTTCCCCACTGAGAATATTTTCGAAATAGTACTGAAATTAGTAAGTGATAATAGACTTCATCACGCTGAAACGTCCTAGCCCTTAATATAAATCCGATATGATTTTACTAAACGATAGGATAGAAGTTAGATTAAATCAATCAGGGATTACCGTTTATAAATATACTAACGCATTTGCACTATCATTCAAACCAAACGTGCTTTATCAAGATTGGTAAATAATAACATTTCTGATTACGTAAAGAACTACAAACTGAATAAATAATCAATATCCAGATGTAAGCAACAGGTTCATATGTATATAATTACATATCTCCTTTAATTTACGAGTTAAATGATAAAACATATCAAAAGTACAACATCAACCTAACGAATTCATATTCTATCAAACATTATCAAATGAGGGTGACTGTAGAAAGTAATATGACGTTTTACAAAAAGGCCTGCACCAATCGAATTACACTTGACGAAGAAACTTTGGAGGATATAAAACCCTTTACATATCTGGGCAGCAACATTGATGAACAAGGTGGATCTGATGCACATATGAAGGCGCGGATTGGCAAAGCAAGAGCAGCATATTTACAACTGGAGAACATCTAGAACTAAAAAAAACTGTCTGTTAACCAACACCAAAGTCAGAATTTCCAATACAAATGTCAAGACAGATCTACTGTATGGGGAGGAAACCTGGAGAACTACGAAAGCCATCATCCACAAGATACAAGTGTTTATTAACAGTTGTCTACGCAAAATACTTCGGATCCGTTGGCCAGACACTACACTATCAGCAACAACCAACTATGGGAGAGAACAAACCAGATCGCAGTGGATGAAGAAATCAGGAAGAAGTGCTGGAAGTAAATAGGACGCACACTGAGGAAAGCACCCAATCGCGTCAAAAGGCAAACCCTCAATTGGAATCCTCAAGGCCAAAGGAGAAGAGGAAGACCAAAGAACACATTACGCCGAGAAATGGAGACAGACATGAGAAGAATGAACAACAATTGGATAGAACTAGAAAGGAAGGCTCAGAACAGATTGAGTTCGAGAATGCTGGTCAGCAGCCTATGCTCCATTGGGATTAACAGGCGTACGTAAGTAGTGCTTTTTTACAAACCAGAAACAAATACAATCTCATAGAGTATTAACTGGGCAAAAATGATTGATATTACATAATTGCTAGTGAAGTATGATTGGTAGAGTTCATATTGTATCGTAAGTAAGGCATTGGATAATGTACTGAATTGTGAATTAATTGAAATTGTGGACGTTAAACATTGTATTTCAAACCAATAGTTTAAATGTAATAAATTTACCGGGAGATATAATAGTTCTAGGCATTGTTCCTGTAAAGTCATGGATACGTATTGCTAAGAAGTCTCATCCTGACGCGACTTCACTTGAAAAACGAAACTCAAGCAAAACACATACTCATTGTCTAAGACTCTATGAGTAAAAAGACTAATTTGTCCACCTGATCAAAACTGATCAGTGCAGAGAGGACCAACATTTTTTAGTAAACCTCTGATAGAGAAAGAAAAAGGAATATTGTGATTCCTGACAAGAACGCATCACAAGCACTCATACGGTTATCAATAAGGCAACGCAACAACACTTGCTTAATACACTTTTTAAAACAATATCGAAAGACACACTAGGTTAATGAAAATACGTTACACTGTGCGATTACTCATTTGTAAAATGTTGCTGTTAAAATAGATGACTTTTTTGCGATTTACTGACTAGAAAGTCTATCATGATTTGTTGAAATACGACAGATAGATTAGCTGATTCCATAGACAGTTACTAACAAAAGTATCAAATCTTTAAAATTAATCAGTGTATTATACTAACCTGCAGCCAGCATACATTTAAAACACGACTTCTGATCAATACGTGACCATAATACAAAGTTAGCTCGACGTGGACGACGTCTTTTCATAGCCAGTAAACATAGTGTTAACGACATTCCAGTAGCCATTGGAACAAGAAAGCATGCAGATGTACTTGGTGATCCTTTAATAATACAATAATATATTACCATTTTAAAGGAAAAGGAAAAAAAGCTTAAACAAATATTTGTTATCAAGTAATATTAAGAGACAATTTAGATTAAGAATCAGTCATTTTGTAATTCTTTCACACTTCTAGTAAGTAGTATAGTTATTCAGCTCATTTTTAAGTTGACTAATCATGAATTTTAAGCGATCAAATTGTATTATTAGTACTATGATTCACAGAGAATTAGTAACTTAATTTGAAATTTTGACAGAAATTTATGATTCGAATCCCGCGTGCGAGATCGTCGATGTGCACTGCTGAGGAGTCCCATACTAGGAAGAAATGGCCGTTCAGTGCTTCCAGGTTTTCCATGGTGGTTTAGTTAATAATTGACTTATTAATTCAACTATTAAATTACTAAAATGTCCACAAACCCCCCCTTCTGATAATGATATGAAAATAGTTGGACCTTAACAGGAATATGCACTAAATATTAGAGAATATTTGACGACGACAATAACTGACTAATGTTAAGTAACATTTGACAGTGGTCATTCCTTGAAATTCATATTACTCAAATAAATGTTCGATATTAAACAGTACCGATCATAATTTTGCTGCTACGCCAAAACTTCTCCGTATTACAAACGAAAAAGATTGATTGGGATAAAATTTAAAGTTATTAAGTAATGGTAGTTAGGAAGGTAATTTTCTTACTTGTTTTTATCGCTGATTAACACCAGTTGCAGAACCACCGAAAATGGATTATCGGTTTTGTCTTAGTTTGTCCCTCTTTCCAAAATGTCCTGCTACCCCCCCCACAAAGTGCTCTTACACTGTTGTGTTTGCAACCTTAGCCAAGTATATCCTACTCACTACCTTTATGTGGTGAGAATGGTGTTATAAAATTGAGGGGGGAAAGGATCTTTGGCCATTAAATCAGACAAATGGACACAAAAAGCCCACCTAAGGGAATTGAAAAACCTTAATTCCGAACCCGTAAGGGATATAATTTTTAGGATCTCTAGGAGAACAAACTTACTTTGACCACTGTTGACGTGAGAATGGATCTTCAGAAGTTTCTTTACTCCAGTGCCTTTTGAATGGGACTTCTAAAGTAAGTAGCTGGGAAGTGGTCGCCTTAAGAAAGCTATCTGCTTCAGCATCGGTGTTCTGGTAGTATCCGACGTCACATATAGATATGGTGATAATAGGAAAAAATGTACACCTAGGTTGGAACTTTTAGAAACCGATCATCCAGAACTCTGTCAGGCGTCAAATATCACTGACAAAATTGGATAATCGTCTCGCCATATCGCGGAACTATTGATCGAAGTCTGGCGTGCGAACCACTGGATTTTGACTCGATGATATATAAGTTTCTAGGTCCCACCTTTTGGGAAAGTTATGGGTTTACGGTGCTGAGAAATACCAAATCAAGACAAAACGCTATTCAAATGCCGTCCGGTTTACTATGATTCTTCAGTTAATATCAGTCCGTGATAAGTATTTGAAATAAAATCTGAGGATCTAAGATGAGATTATATTATTAAGCTTGTGAAGTATGTGGTTTTGGCCTCAATGGCTAACAATGTAGAAGAACTAAATAAAATTCAGAGAAAATTTTCTTTTTGACTATATCATTTACTCAAGCTTTATAATTGTATTTTAGTTCATTCACGATTAAAATAGTTTAGCGAAAAATAGATGGACGATTAAGTCATATTATTCGTCGAAGAAAACCGCTTGATAATTGAGAACTGAAGAGAAATAATAAAATGAAACTAAATATATGAAAGGTCCATTTGACGAATATGAGAAGGGTGATGAATAAACTGAAAACGTGAAGGTGACAATAACGAACAATTAAAATAAATAAGACTAAAAGGAATTAGAAGTATGTATTAACAATCAAATTACTATTTATGAAGATTAAGTGTTAGGGCCAATGGAAGAAATGATGGCCTGTATATGTCTCATTTTGCAAAGAGTTCAAATGTGAAAAGATGGATTCCTAGCGCCTCCGAAAGTGTAATAACGTGTTAACTTGCGCTTCTCTCGAACTAACGCATCTGGATGGTTGATAATGTATTGATATCAACGAGTAAAATTATACATATACATTTATTAAACATAAATTCATTGAATAAGAATTCATGAACCTTAACTAATAATTAATTTTAAGACAGTAGATCAGATCTCAGATGTTATTACCGCTCAATTGTATAATCGATGATTTTTTTCAATTATTTACAACTTTCATTTATCATTTACCTGATTTTCTTAACCAATCAAGTAACAATTGATTAGTTAGTCGACAAATAAGACTTGAACCAGAAGCTTTTGGTTGAATAGCAGCTATATCACCAGAACGTCCAATACCGTGTGTAAACCTACATTTTAAGAAATAATCTTAATATTAGCCATATAAGCAAATCCAACATGTGAACACCTATTAGGAATGAATGAGATACGAAACGGTTTGTAAATCTATTCTGTCAGAAAATATAGTGTAATTGTAAACAATGTGTACTTTATTATCCACGGTTAATTATGGAGTGTTATGGATGTTGGATACAAGCATCTAAGTAGTGAAAAAACGTTAATTAACAAAGCCATGAATTTGCATTAGCTGATATGACTGATAAGTATCAAAATACTACTTCGCCTTGATCAGTACGAACATTCAGATTATACGGAGCGAAGCTGACTTAGTGGTCATCAGGAGCAACGAGGAAGTTTCTTTGGGTATATTTTCAGTTGAACGCAAGATGGTGCAGAATACGTTAATGCAGTTCAAATGAATCCACTTATTAGATTAGGTTTCAAACAGCTTAATACTCGTTAACTAATTTTCCCATGTCTTTGAATATACTATCTAATTGATTTCATATGTTCTTTTGTTGAATCGCCCCATTTTATAGCGCTGTTAAAATTTAAGCACATTAATTTAATTCGTGGTTGTTTGCAATAACCCGTTGTTGATATCATGAGTAAAATTTGATCAGTCTTGGTTTGCACAGGTGCATCCTGTGCGGATTGCTTCGGTATAGCCATCATGATACAAGCATATATAGAATAGATACAATATGACTAACAATGGAACTTAAACTGTACGTTTAGTACGTATTTAAACTCGTCAGATCGATATGCTTTCATCCCAAAACTGGCGTCCACTCCGGAAGTCGACCCAAGCACCACTCACTTTAAACGCCAACGCATTATCCACTTATTACATTCCATTTATTTTATGCAAGACTGATCAAATTTCCGTCATAATGTAGTGGAATCTACTAAAAGGATGTTTGTAAGTAGTATGAAACAGAACGTGGTGTCGAAATTGCAACAATTATAGGACAGAGTGAAGTTTCAGTGCATCAAAGCCTGGGGTTGGCAGAATACTTAGAGCCCAGTAAGAAGAAATTTTAAATTGCAGAACACACCGGAAGATGAGAATGGACAATTGGATGCTATGTATATGTATTATGTAGATACTTCGTAACTTTTCGCAATAAATACACATACCAACCGCCTATTGTCTTATTTTACAATAATAGCAAAAACGGGATAATCCAAGCCAATAAAAACTAAATTAAGATTCATACCCTCTGCACAAATGGGTGGCTATCTGGACTCAGTACTTAAGTGGATAACGAGTTGCGTTTGAGGAGACTTACTGGAATGGAATCCAATAGTGAAGAACAACTATGTTATGCAGGCACATCTATCTGATTGGCCTCAAATAAGAAATGAGCAAGGGAGCTAGAGATATACTGATCTGTCTCTGAAACAGAAATTATAGTTCAGGAATTATAGTTCACTAGCTGAATGTTGAATAAATGAACCAAAAAGCTACATAAATGAAAGCCGATCGAACTCACTGAAGTCGGAGTTAATTTGACTAATTTATTGACAGTCTTAACTGTCATGAAACACAAATTACTAAGATTCACTTTTGTCAACATAGCATGCCACCGAATTTGAGAAATGTTACATTGAGATATTCAAACACATATTGAACAGCTTACCCATAATGACGACGACGAATAAAGTTCACAAATACTCGTCCTTCTCGTTCTCCAACACCCACAGAATTCTCCCAGTTATTAGAATCGAAAGATGATATTTGAAGAAGTAACGATTCGATATCGGCTTCAGAAAAGCCTACATCTGGAAGCCGTCCCTGAGTGAGTTCAAATTATTACAGAATACATTTCTTAAAAATGAAAAACAAATTTACAATAATAAAATCTATGCAATTAATTATTGCGATACCATATGAGCTATGATGAATTGTATTTCATCCAAAAAAAATTTAACAGATATTTTGTCCGGTTTACTCAGTGAAAATACTCAATATTTTCACGGGGAAACCTTAGGTTACAAGTAACAAATACATTCTTTAAGTACAGACAACAGCTGAGCTATTTAAATGTATAACCAGTACACCACATTAAAAAGTTAATGATTAGTAAATGAAGAATCGGCAGTCGCTTCGCTAGATATAATATACCACTTCAGTACTGACATACATACACCCTTATCTTTTACAACAAATGATATATAGAGTTTAACGATAAAGATGGAATAAATTATTTGCATCGATTAATTTGTTTTTCTGGAAATTCGCATCAGGTCCATTGAACGCTTTATCAATGGAAAACCAAGACAAGTAATGAAGTCATGATCAGGAGTCGCAACTTGTGAAGTTGTTGTGGTATTCTTGTTCCATAAAATAAGCAGCAAGTGTCAATGAATTTATATCAAAATAAATTAAATACATTCTGAGAACATCGAAACAGTATCAGTATTCAGATCATAATAAAGCGAATTACTTCGATGCTACTCTTTGACACTTGAGGTTCGAAGATTGCTAAGACTTCAGGTTCATCGACCAATTAATTAGTTTGGCTCAGAGTAAACATTTCATGATCTCACTACATCAACCAAAATATATATGGAAAAAGGTCAAAGAAGTTTATTGAGACACGACGTTATACAATAGTACATAAGTTCAAGTTGTCAAAGTTCGTAATTGTAAAGAAAGCGGATGTTACCAAAAATTGAAAGATATTACCACAAATAAAAGTTGTGCACTGAGAAAAGAGAATGTGACAAGTGATAAAATTAAAAAGGTTCAATATATAGCCGGTTATTATTATTATTACCCGAGGTATTTGACACTGATTCCTGTTACTTTAAAACTAAAAACTAGAAAATTCATATTTACTGATACATAAAACTAGTAGCCAGTTGCGTCATCCTTAGATTTTTATTTAATTTAATCCTATTTAAGGTATTATCATATATCAGACTACATGAAAGAATATGATTAGCCACTCTCTTTTTACGCCAATTAACAACTTCAAAAACTGACCATCTCTTCTTGCCCAGGACGTTTTACCTGATATCACTGCCTATCCCAATGTCTCGACATACAACATCATCATGCAGTAAATTTTGCAAAGGCGCAGCCAACTGCAGTTGAATGATCATAAACTCACCTGATCTAGTACGGTGATGAGCTTCTTTTTCCTTTTAATTGATCTCTCCTGACACCTTTTAACGTGTGAATCTCCAATATATTTTTTTGTGAGACGCAGAATGTCGTCTTCCATCAGTATAAATTGCTCGGATGTACCGTTTGAGCACCGTGAGTTCGGAACGGGAGATCGGTATCCAGGAAGACAACAGTTGAAAGATCAGGTATATAGCCTGAAAAATACAAAATGAAAGCCTTAACATACATAGCACAAAAGCATGTTTTTGCGAGTAGTTTGCCGACGTCAGACCAGATTGTTTTCACTGGTTCTTGTCATAATTATTAACTCCACACAAAAAGAGATCCAAGAGATGAAACAGAATATTTTAATATCAAAAGAAGCTAGATAAGTACGGTTATAGTAACAAATTATTAGGGACTCACGAAGGTATACATTATTTCCATTACTACTAACTGCACTAATAATTAGTAAAAATAACAACTGCTTCACTCAATATCAATCAACTAACGCAGAACCTATCACATATTTGCACCGCTCCAATTTGCTGCAGCATAAGGATAAATTATCGGAAATCGGTGGTAGCATAAACGGTAGAAAAACGATTAGACAGAAAACGTAATCCAAGGAAGGATGAATTATAGGAACCAAAGGTACAAAATAACTTCAAACCTCATAACTTAAGGGAATGCAAAGAGTAAATTTATCCATCCTAATGTTACCGACTTTGAATAGTGTCACCTGTCCCCATTAATAGTAATAATAATCGCCATCATTCCAACAACTAGTTACAACAATCCAGCGCACTCAAAACAGGAATTTTTAGCCAAACGTATAGACCAATGATGACTTCACTGACTTGTGTAACCTTCGAGGGTCTCTTCCGCAATCTGTTTACGACTAACTCCCACAGCACCTGATACTTTGCGTCGAGGCAGGCAATAAAGATTAACAATATTAGTGACCTACTTGCTGAATCTGCCCAGTATCTGAGTCTAGATTTAACATCAAAACAAGGAATCATCGCTTAATTTCCACATAAGACCAAATACCAATAACCTATGAACTTCTTCGCTTTTCAAAGACCGTGTTTTATAACCATATAGTAAAATAGAGTACTGTTGTTTAAATGTGATTGGTTCGTCCATAAATTATAGTTTCGCTGACATTAATCCTCCAAGAAGTGGGTGGCGTAGTCAACAATTGTACCATGGTTAGTTCAGTGGTTGGAGTAGACCACTCATTAAGCAAAATGTTGAAAAGAAGTGAGCTGGGAACATCTCTACATCGAAACACCGTGTATTTTGTTAGCGCCCTCAAGAAACGACTATACTGTTAGTATATTTCAAGTTCATAATTAAAACTTCATATTAAGACGAAGTTCGTGGTAAATAGACTATAGGCGTGTTGAGAATTTTGAAAAATCCCCGCAAAAATGATATTCCCGAACTAAGGTTTTTAAGTCACAGGTAACCCGTACGACATTCCATGGGCCGTGATGAATTATTGCCTCTGAATAGCGATTTCAGTGATTAATATCAATAATTCATCACGGCCCATGGGATGTCATGCAGGTAATTATTATTGAACACAAGAAGCTGACTAAACGGCAACTGTTCACCTATATCAACACATGACATATTTCTCACTTAGCTCACAGACACTAAGTGAAGAAGAAAATTTGGTAGCTGGTTTAATAAAGACTTCGACAAATTTTAGTGATTCTGATATTGTAATTTGCAGACAAAATCAGTCCATAATGATAAAATAACTCACCGAAATTATTTCGTATGGGCTGTAATTTGGCCGGACATCAGTTACTGTAGTGGGCAAACAACACCTCTACGAAGCTTAAAGCGTGTTCAACACTTACTACTGTTTTTTTGAGCCGCGAAACTTAACGCTGTGAACATATACCTTGAGGTTTGGTGGATGTAAACAAAGATGTACTTCTACTATTGAATGCACATTGGTACTAAATTAACTAAGATGAGGATTAGTTTGAGACAACCACGGTCCAAGTGTTTGAATCAACTGTGAACGGTTAAGTTTTCCTTTTATGAGCTTTCACTTCTAGTAACTATGAATCATCGATACCTACAAGTAACCATGTCCATAAAACAAGCACAAAAGAACATAAAGTTTCCCGAAACTAAATTGAGTACTACTCCAAGTTCTTAAAGATATATCATTCTTGTTCCTTGGGAACTATATGGGGTTTTGTACCAACGGTTCAAATGGTTCTGCACGGTAAAGGAGTTTTCGTTAAATGGGCTTTCGTATCTAGCCGCAGTAGATCAACGATGCCCCAAGGCAGGAGCCTACATATATTTAATGAGCAAAGAGCAAAATACTGTCAAATTTCGGCAAGATTCTGTTATAAATCCAGAAGAACATTTCAGGTTTTCTGTTAATTAACTCTTGAGAACTGCTTGGACGGACTCAGCCAGTAGCGAATTCCGGAATTTGATTACTCTAAAACAACTCACTGACCGAGATCGGCTACCCCAGCGCGTTCAGTAAGAAGTACATGCAGGATATAATAAAGAAGTCGGAGATTTCGACTGTTCGTAAGAAACCTTTATACATGAAAGTGAAATTCAACGGGGATGTGGCTAGTGATACTCTGAAATATAGGTTAACTAAAGTAATCACCAGGACATTCTACGCAGCCAATCTTGCGTTGACCTTCTCTTGTCGACCAGCGATGTCTACTCAAACGAAGGATAAGTTACCTGAGTTGGCCTCTTCTATGTGCATTTACAAATTCAGCTGCTCCTGTGGAGATAGCTATATAGGGCGTACTACCAGGCAACTTAACCAACGAATGAGTGAACATCTACCAACTTGGTACATAAAGGGCCAGAGAAAAACTATTCGCAGTTCTATATTGGCACATCTTATTGATAGCGGTCATGCAGTAGATAAATCGAAATCATTTCGAGTTATCTATCGTATACCTCCATCATTTCCCGACGGAGTCCGTTCTCGTCTCCTATATATAGCTGAAGCCATTGTAATTCGTACATATAACCCCAATTTATGTGTACAGAAGAAATACGTGACTCCCCTATCCCTTCCATGGCCAGTTATAACTTAACTAACAATTTATTTATTTATTTATTATTATTATTTTAAATTCTATTATTATCATTATTTATTTTATTCTATTCGTGTTATCATTAACCTTATTTCCACATCCATTATTTGTTTGTAATTTTCCGCCTCTTTGTATTCTTCACTATCTAATTATTTACACACATCTTATTACGTAATGATTTAAATGTTTTGTGATTACTATTCCTAGTCTATTAACCCATGTTTGTTTGACCTTCTATTTCCAACGATTAACTATTGATGAGTTTTGTTATTGTATTTTTTATTATTCTCACTATTATCAGTTCACCTGTCTTCCTACTACTATCAACTTGTACTTTTACCTATTATGTGTAGAGACTAACTCTATTTCATTGTGATTATTGACCCAGATTGCCTTGATTGGTTTAAAATTTTCGTATAAATAATCATGTATATTAGAGTAAAGCCTGATGACGATCTAATTGAAAACAATTGTTCGCTTATATGTGTTGTTCTAATTTTCACAATGGGAATCTTTAATACTCTAAAAGAGTTGAACTTGTGTCTACAGCTCACTTCGCGATGTTTTGTCTTTAAGTTTTGGGTATTACCCGTAATTTTTATATTGTGACTGAACTTATGTAAGTATTTGAGCAGATGCTCATAAGTGTTTAGGACACTATAAGTCACCTCTGAGACGCCTATGTTCTTGTGGCTTAAAGTTCACTGAGTTGAGGCACTCTTCACAAAGCTTGGGTTCAAGTCTCCGAACTGATTTCTTGGTCCGCCGCTGGATACGTTTCAATGTATCCTTATCCTTGTAAAGTAGTATGGGAAACACCGCATTTCCCTGCTTTGAATAGTGTGAAAATTAAGTGAAAAGTTCAGCCGTCAAATTGGCCAAAACCGCGCTTCAACGTTTCCAGCGCAATGTTTGCTTGAAAGTTACTTTTGTTTCATTTGACGTAAGGCTTCACACAATAGGATAACAACAATCCTAGATTTTTTAAACTTGGGAGTTACCTAGGTTGTATTTGTTGCCTGTAACATGTCTCAGACTACTTTACACTGTGAAGTGTTGAATTCGAATCTGTAGTGGCATTGGTTCCTAACAATATAACCTTTTAAGCCGAACATATAATTATTGAAAAGAGTATTCTTCGTTCGTACAATTGTGCTTTAGTACAATGGGAGTTTTCGGCGATTAAAAGAAGAGGTCCCAATGTCGAAATATGAGGGACTCTGTCAGGACATTCTGAAGCCTGAAAATTGTAAAGTTAACCCTGATGCTAAAAATTCGATCATTTAAATATGAAACCAATTAATTAACAGTGACTTGATATCTAGCGATCAGAGATTATTGACCTGACATATCCGTATGACTCTATCAAAAGCATTTAGGAAGTCACCGTACGCTACGTGAACCTTCTATTTGCGATCAAGGATGGTCGTCACGTTGGTTACACAAGGGTGTCTCTTCCCGAAGTCGTGCTGTCGGGGTGAAAAGAAGTTTATGGATAACAAGTAGTTGCGCAGATCATCGTAAATCAAGAACTTCAAGACTTTCGAATGTATTGAGAGATATGCTGCCGGCAAGTAGCTTGATAGTTCACTGCGTCGGCCTCCTATGAACTGGTGTTATGTGTGTTAGCCTCCCATTTTATTGCGTCGTGCCACGGCTTAACGAATGTGGGAATATAACATTAGGCAGTTTTGCCAAGATTGAAGCTGCCTCTGACAGTATAACAAAATGAACTACATCCGGGCCACTAAAAATGGTTTTGTTTAGAAGCTGTATATTGGTGATACCTGTCCCTTCTAGGTTTTTTCCCTGTTCTTGACAATCCACAAGTAGAGTAATCGTCTACAATTTGCCTATGCGCTTAATCCTTGCTTCATATCGCCTGTCCAGATGCACGTGGATTCCAGCTGATTCCCGGCTTCTGTTAGTATGAAATTATTCTAGAGGAGCATTCCCCATTGAGGAGAGTAGAGAGGTTATCTTCGTTAGCCGGGGTCTAGAATCCTTGTCCTCCTTGGATAGTCGCACCGCTTGTTCAGTCAATATGTTCTTGAGCTTCAAGGATTGCTTTATGAATTTCGCACCCCTGAATATCAGAATTTTCATTATCAGGATCCGTGTTTTTCGAGACATCCGCGAAAGAATGTCTCGCAAGACTTCTTAGGGATGTTTCTGATTGTGCTCAGAATATGGTATATCAGGCAGTATCTCCACATTATTTTGTGATTTCAGCAAGTGGCTGGTCAGCAGATCGTCCTTTAAGTCAGCACTGTTAGTGAACTTTACACGAAGTCTTGAGTGATTTCGGAGTTTTACATCACTCACATAGAACTGAATTCCAGTGAATTTCCTCCTCCATAGTATTCTTACTGATACAATGGGATGAGAACATGAAATCAAATTTTCAACTCACCAGGGTTTTTACTCGACATTACTTGTGTTGTTAATTCTTTACGATTATTATTCAGAGAAAGATTGTTAGGAATGCTAGATCCCCAGAAAAAAACTTCGTAAACGCTTTACTTTTGTAAATTGATTTTTAATATTTGAATTTCCCATTTTTGCACCGTAAGCGCCGACTTTCACTTTCAGTTTGTATTACACACTTGGAAAGACCTTAAGTGTCTTTGGTTCATCTCCTCTTTCGGTACACTATTTTGTGATGTTCGCCAATAACATTTTTGTGCCGTATACGTATTTATGAGTTATATGTTTGTCCGTCCGTGCTTCCGGCTGCTCGTCGAATGAACATTTCTCCAAGCTGAGTATAGTCTTTTCGCTCTAGCTACCAGAGCTGTGGAGCATTGGAATAGTTTAGCTTGTCATTGTGTTACTGGCTTTCGTTGTGTTCAACGGTTTTAGCTGATATCCTAATCTCTTCAGTGCAACCGTTAATTGTTCTGAAAGCTTCCTATTGTTGCTGTCCTGCAGACTAAAAAGAAGATCAGAATTGTCTTTCGGATTGATGAATATGAGAGCTGCGGTCCGGAATTCCTTTCATTTTGTTGAGTTGTTAGATATCAAGGCGGCATTCAAGTCGTTTAAAAGCTATTTTAGTGACCATTGTGCGTGCTTTTTGTATGACTTCCGATCATCCTATTACTAATCTTGAATCGATTGACAATTTTAAATTTTCGGAAAATCAAGTGAATATCTACATTTGAAATCGGAGTGGCTGTCTATGAATATAGGAAAATAACAAATAGCACTTACAACATCGTATGTTAAATGATAAAAATTGTTATGAACTGAATGTTGCTTATAAGACCCTTCTGGGATAACAATCATAAATGAGTCCACTTGACTTACAAATGGTCCTCTGCACTAAGTGATAGCGTGACGCGAATAATAAGTCCGATAGTGTTACTGCATAATAATCCCGACCGAAAGTCCAGCCACTGAAAAGATGTTATAAAACTATTATAATCTTCAGTCACCAGCCGTGGTTTGTAATGCAAAAGAATAGATAACTGAGATAGAGTTAATCTGAATAACAACAGTAAGGTGAGTATTAATCAACCAATCAATTTTGCCCTTTTTTATTTACACCGACATACTCATGGTTACAAACAGTGCCACTAACAAAGGAAAAAATCGTGGTCTACGTTTCAGTCGTTGCATAAATCAAAGCGGTGCAAACGGTTGTAGACGGAATAGGAGCTTTTGCTTAACGGGCTCACAAGTCTAGTAGCAGTGAATCACCAATAACTCCAGGAAGGAACCTAGGTATATTAACGAAAATAGAGGAAAAAGAAATAGGCAAAGCATAGTAAGATATTGCCCATACTCCTTAAGAATAGTTCAAAGTTCCTCTTAAAGGACTTTTGGGGAGTCGCTTGGATTATCTCAGCCGGCATTTGACTAATCTTAAGGAGTAGAAGTTGTGTATACAGTTCGTTCTGCTGTGTTATGTTTCCATTTTCTGGGTGTTACGCTTTAGGTTTTTGTTAAGGCTAAACTTAAGTAGGCGTTTAAGCCGTTATCCAGAAGTGATAAGGATACTGTAGGCCATTAGAGGGTCACCTCTAAGACGCCTATACTCTAATAGATAAAGGTTTAGTTATTGGAAGGCGCTCTTCATAAAGAAATACTATGTTTCCGTATTCTAAATGGTGACGAATAAAACCGTTAGAAAAACTTCCTTCTCCATACTGGCCAAAAATGCATTTCAAGGTTTGCTCGAAAGGCATTTTTGTCACAGTTAGCGCAAGACATCAAGTAGTAGGGTATCAGCACTCCTAAATCTTTTTCAACTTGGGTTACTTCTAGAGGATGGTTTCTTAAGTTGTAACTGTAGTCTGCAACATATCACAGGTGGACCACTTTACACTTTGAAGTGTTAAAGGTAAGTCCGTTATTGTCTGCCCAAATTTGAAGTCGAGTCAGATCTTCCTGAAGTGCCAGTATATCCCCTTGGTTGCGTATCTCTCTACAAAATTTCACATCATCAGCAAAAAGTAATAAATCAGACGATACCTGTTGTGGAAGGTCGTTTATATAAATCAAAAAAAGAAGATGTCACAGTACAGAACCCTGTGGAACCCCGCTAGGACATTCCTTAGCTTGAGAGAAATCGAAGTTAACACTGACCCTAAAATGTCGTGTTTTTAGATGTGAAGTGAGCCAGTCAGTTAGAAGCATTTTGATACCCAATCGTTTGAATGTATTGATAAGACATGTATGGCTGACTCTATCAAAAGCTTTTGAGAAGTCAAGGTAGATGACGTCAACATTACCCTTGCAATCGAGGATGGCTGTCTATCTGTCTACCGCAGTGAACAAGTGGTTATACAAGAGTGACCCTTCCTGAAACCATGATGTTAATGTGAAAATGAGTTTGAGGATAATAAATGGTCGTTTGTGCCATCGCATATAAGGGACTCCATAATTTTTGAAGGTATAGGGAGAAGTGGCACCGGTCGGAAGTTTGAAGGTTCCCTGCGTCGAGCTCCTCTGAAAATCGGTGCGATGTGGGCTAGCTTGCAAATTTCCGGTAATGTGTCTCTGCTTAGTGAGCGTCAGAACATTAAACTAAGCGGTGTTGCTAGGATTGAACTGCTTTCCGTATCAAAGGATAATGAATCACTGAATGTACATGCGATTATAGACGAAATAACGGACGAACCGAAATAAAACTTTTCAGACACAAAACAAAATTTGACGTGTAATGGATGTGGAGAATAACGGCAACAATTATAATACGTTTTAAAATACTATTTGTTTTAACTTATCTCTACTCTGTAACTCGAGGCCGCACTGCCGAATTTGAGTCCTGATTTCTTACCACTTGAGTTCATCTTTAACATTGTTTCAAGCCATATATTACACCCTATGACTTATGAATAAATCGGTAAGGCTGCACTGAATAATCCGTTTATTTTTTCAGCATTTTGTCTTGCTCTTCGTACCTAAAACATGGTCTACGAATATGCGTTTGCTCATGATCTATGTGTACATTGAGTTATGTTTTACTTTCTTGCAAACCAACTATTCGTCTTAAACCCGTTGGTCCCCCATTTCTAGATTTTAAAGAAATTACCCCAAAAGTTTTTTGGGTTTTTGTATCGTTTCTCCGGAATTTTCTTTTGTAGCTTCCTCAGAACGAACAGTTTTTCCCAAAATAATAAGGTCGGATCTTCATATCCCAGGTTTATTCCTAACCGTCACTCAAGACACTTAAACGTTTCACAGGAGTGTCCCAATCCTGACTTTGGGGAATTGCGACATAAGCCCAAAATTTCATCTGGTCTGTGTTGTTTACCCATAATAACTTGGAATTCCGGGTTTCCCCCATTATTTCCCTAAATCCTGTTAAAATCTACGAATTTTCATATGAAGGGAAACCCCGAAATCCAGGTATTAGGGTCACCACTAAGGCTTCCAAACGATACTCAACACATCGAAAAAGTGGTTGTTTACAGGTGTTAAACGTGACATAGAAAGTGATTGAGTATTGGGGTTGTAACAATAAATACTTAGCTAACCATCACGTCCCTCAGCTTATGTTTGGAGTAGGTTGTAGGGATTGGACTGTATAATAGACAAGGATGAATCCCCAAAGCTATTGATTATTGGTCTAATCCTTGTAAGAGGATCCAGGCTTCGAGCTTGGAATTTAGTTTACCTACAGTCGGTTGTTAGTGACTGGGCAGTATAATTTGTGATCGGTAGCAGTACTGTGTGTAGACATACTCTTCCCTCTAAGTTCTAGACATTGTATTATTCTGTAACCATCATTTTACTGCTTTGATCGTATATTTCGCTTTAGCTCACTTTAGTTCTGTGCCTGAGATAGTACCATGTACGTGTCTTTTTCAGTGTGATTTTTTCGAATGTCAAACATTATTTATATACCTTCTTTTTCATAAAACAGAGTGGTACAGTCGATCTTCATATAAATGAGGAGTTAATTGGACTACATGGTAAGCTTGTTCCAGTGTCTAAACACCTAATCAGGAAGTCGTGACAAATTCCTGCTTAATACTATTCTAATATTCGTTCTTCGAAAGGGGTATACAGCAGTAACAAAAGAAGGTAAAAATATAGTTTTTATTGCAATTACATCCTTCTTCCTAGTTTCATAAATTCCGCATATGATTCAGGTTAAATTGACATTTTAAAAATATCTGTCGCTTGTGATGACATTAGTGAAGGGTTAGTAGTAAGTCTAAACTGAAAAGTGATGCAATCGGCGAATCTCAGCCTCTAGATGTTCTAACCTCAAACGCACCGTTAATTGATTGCTTTGATAATTATCCTGTATTCTTATAATTCTGTTTTAACATTATGTATATAAGCTGGAGATTTATTTCAGTTAGGTACACTTAGCCAGTTGGTTAGTAGTTCTGTCTTCTAAAATTTGCTCAATTGGGAATAGGAGCTTAGTTCTTTGAACAAATCTATCCATTTACTCACCATTGGAGTCATCGTTTAGTCAAATTCACTCAATTATTTTATTAGTCAGACCATCGTATCATAGAGTTAAATTAAAGTTTTGCTGAAAATACAAGTTAATTTAAGAGCGATCAGTTGATTAAATTCCATCAATAATTTAAAATTGCAAGATTTGGCAAATGAGTATTTTTTTTCGCAATGGTTCTTATAAAACAAGCATAAATTGTGTACTTGACACATTCTTTCTCTTCTTTTAGTCATTCAGCTTTACAGTCATTTGTCCTATGAACCACCTCCTTTTTGTGTGTGGTGTTGTGCAGCGATGTTATTTCCCAAGACTCCAGATGGGAATTTTGTTGAGAATACTTCCAACAATTTAAGTTTATCCAGTGATTGGCAAAATCAGTTAGAAATTTTGATTACAATAGGGGATGATCTATTTTCAAGATTGGATGATTCGTCTCGATATAAACCACATCTTCACAAGTACTTGAATGAAGCCAGACGTGTTGTAAGTTTCCACTTGTGTGCTATGTTGTTGTGCATCAATGTGATTTTTATTTTTGCTACATAAGGGCACATATTTTGTCCGAAATTCCAGGTATTCTTATTTTCGTTATTAAAATAATTATAGACAACGGCGTAGAAGATTAACAGATGTATGTAAAAATGTTGTTAAAGTGTTTTTTTATTAGTTAGGAGTTTCCAGACCCAATTGTCGACCAACCGATCTTGAGAACGCTTGAAAAGCATAGATATATGTTTTGGAGTTTTATTTTTATATCATGTTCGCAAACTCATTTGATGAAGTTAGAATTGTTGAAGTGCGATGTTTTCATTTGCTTTAAAATATTGGCGATCGTATTCTTATGTTTTGAAATCTAATTATACTCTGTTGTTTGTTAATAATTTGTTGACGTTTCATCCAATTTACGATTTGGTAACTAGTTAGCTAGCTTTAAGCATCTCAACTAAAGTTTTCAGCTCTGTTAGCTGAGTTCGCTCGAGCACATCACTGGTAAAATCGTTTTTAAGCTTGTGGAACAATTACATAGCACTTAAACCGTTATAACCTAGTTAACACAATTTGTTGGTTGGTGAAGAGGATAATCTCACTACTCATCCTTAAGGTCCCGAGTGGGTAGGACTCATCGAGAACTTGGTGCTTTTTTATCATGTTCTAAACATCCTTAAGGTTAGCTATAGGACTCACTAAATAAAGTTAACTGTTGTCCGTCTTTTCCGTTTTTCAGTTCCATGTGAATAGTTTTAAAACAGTGTGATTATTTTATTGCAGTCTAGTCTTTGGTGATAAAAGCTGGATCTACTAAGTACTTCCTGTATGAGTAGTGACAGTTTATCCGTCATGTATCAAAGAAAGCACGGTAGTAACTGAGGTGGGGAGGAGATTGGATTATGAATGATTAAGTTTGAGTTACAAAGATTTATACGAACAAATATACTTTCTGGGATGATGCTTGAAGTGTAGATTAGACTTAAATCATCGCTATACCCCAAAACTAAGAAAAATCATTTAGCACTAAGTTTTTATTGCTCTAGAATCCTGTTCTCCCGGATTAATTAATCAGACAAAGAAATTCTTTTATCTTGCTGCAATTTAGATTATGCATTTATACTTGGAATCGTTTTCATCAACAAGTGACTATACACCGTGTTTTACCAAATTGAATCAGTATTTTCCTGCATCAGATCCAGTGAGTTAGTTATAATATGTCAGTATTCTACTGATTTATTCTGTCTGTATACAGTTTTTGTTTTCTGGCAGTGTATACGCACGTGTTTCCCAAAACAATGTTTTTTTTATTTTCTGATGAAAAAATCAACTAGTCCAGTTATCCATTCCGTATATCCCAGTTCTTTGTTACACTCGTGATTAGCTTTAGTTCTGGTCTTGTAAAATTATGTCAACATCTGATGAATATCTTTTTAAATGTTAAGTAACGATATTCCTCGTTGTTTGCTTGGTTGAGGCTAGTAAGTAGTGTTCCGCGGGATTTTCTGCTCTCAATACTGCTATTCCAGAGGGTGATTAAAACTCCTTAGGCATTTGAAAAAGTGAGTCACTTATCTTCCCGGCGAGACATCTACATATCCAGACATAAAACATGACTGTCGCAAGTACACTAACCCCGGTGGCTAAACTACTTGACTATCGATCACCGAGTTGGAGGTCGAAGTACCTCTTCTTGTACTTTGGTTCAGCCAGCCAGTTATTATCATTATATGATACTGAAAATGGTATTAACTTCAGCGTATTTTGCACTTCATATATATTGAAAACTCATATGTATTAGGTAGGAATAAATGCTTCGCTTCAGTCAATCATCCGCAACGTAAAACGTGGGATATATGCTCATGGTTTAGCCGAATTTATTCAGATTCAGACGACGAATTGCTTAGCAATAAGACTGCTTCTAGAAATATAGCTAAATAACAATTCAAAACGGCCAGTTGTTTGTAAATCGTGTAAGCAATTGTGAAAAGTCATCGAATGATCTAAGACATATCTAACTGATGATGTAATGGGGGAATTAAGAATATTTCCTGTTTTCAGCGATATACTACCATTATACGGTAATGCGACGTGTGACTGAGGTCATGCTACCACTACACTGAATAATCGTTCGATATGCTATGCACACACTGGATCACGTTTTAACAGACTTCATTTATTTATTTAAACACATAAACATTGGTACAAGGAGGCACCGAATAGATATGCGCCATATAAATCATTCGATTTAATATAAGGGCTGGGATTCTGCCCGGGTGCCCAAACCGAAGCAAGCCACGATTTCCAATCAAGTATAGATAACTAGAGGATAGACCAAACAGTATTTTATTCGACACTATTACAAGCAGTCTACACTCAATGAGCCCAGGGTAGAAATCATTATTAGGCAGGAAATCACAAATTAAATAGTCAATAATATGTCTTTACCAATTCGCTCTCAGTGTCTTATCACAGTTATTTTCCCAAGTTGTATATTATACCAATGTTGTAGCGATGATCGAACATATTTTTTAGTAAATCTCTATAATCAAGAAATAGAAACTGTTAGTTCTATCGACTTAATCAAAGTTTTAACCCTTTTTTGTCTGAATTGAGCCGATGCTGTTACCAAATGTCTGAAAGTAGTTTGAAAACGGTGCCATTAAACACTTAAAAGCATTTAAGGTCGTTATGATTTAGTAGGAGTAAAATGAATTATATTGACTAGAAATCCTTTTGCGGTCAATTGTTGCAGTATGGAATCTAATTGGGAAACTTAATAAAACTAAAATACCTGCTGAAACCATATAGTTATTGCAAAGCCTTATACAATTCTTTGAAAATACAAGTTTTTGTGATTGTCAACAATAAACTTATAGTATATTTCCATATCACAGTCTTGTTTTCTCCAGCATAACATACAATTTATTCCATCATAAATTCAAGTGGAAGGAAAGGAATAATAGAAAAAGAGAAGTATGAGTTCGTTATAACCTGAAACAGTTTTGTTGTTGTTGTTGTTGTTGGAATGTATAGAAAGTGTTATCATCATATTTAAATTGGTTTTCTGAAAAGATGTTGGCTAGGTTAAGTGGTAGCCTAATTGTCGAATACTCAAAGTATGGACGGGGAAGTATTAACAAATTTATTTATTTAAAGGATAATTAGATGAATGTGTGTTAAAATACGGCGATATCGCTTAGAGCAAATACAGTTACAATTATTATTTCAATACCAAATGGCTATTGAGTATTAAAACCATTATGTGTTGTACTGAATCTACTTTTTTTCAAATGTTCTTGTCCTATTCAAAGTTATTAACTTCAAAATAAGGCTGATAAAAGGTATTATATCGGTTTTGTTCAACCAGTCTGTCACAACTTGTACAGTGTCGATTGTTTCACATACCTCAATGTTACCTTTCAATACATATATGGTTGTAAGTAACTGATGAGAAACTGCGAAATATAATAAATTCATATCATTCTGCATCACTGTTAATCGATTGCATCCCCTATTCATTCACATACCTTTGATGCTCTGTGGCTAAATTTGATTGTTAAAACTTTGATCAGTTCTTTGGAGATTGTAGTAGAATATTAACTCCCACTTCGTCATCAATTCATGCATTAAAAATTGTTACGATAGTCGGGACTTTTCAAACAAGGAGAAAGACTTCTCGACCTTGAGTATGCGGACGATATTGTCTTACTGTGCGATAATGCCCAAGGCATGCAATCCGCACTTAATCAGTTGGCAATCAGTGTCCGTAGGTATGGTATGTGCTTTGCACCTTCGAAGTGCAAAGTACTTCTACAAGACTGGCAGAATTCTAATCCTGTACTCACCCTGGATGGTGAGCAAATAGACGTAGTTGAGAAGTTCGTGTATCTAGGTAGCTGCATAAGTGCTGGTGGTGGCGTGAGTGATGAGATCAATGCACGTATAGTGAAAACCAGAGCGGCCTATGCCAATCTGGGCCATCTTTGGCGCCTTCGTGATGTTAGTCTGGCTGTAAAAGGTCGGATCTACAACGCGTCGGTGAGAGCAGTTCTGCTCTATGCTTGTGAAACCTGGCCTCTCCGAGTTGAGGACGTTAGACGACTTTCTGTGTTCGATCGTCTCTGTCTCCGAAGGATTGCTGACATTCAGTGGCAACACCATGTCAGTAATGCAGAGGTTCGGCATCGTGTGTTCGGGTACAGAGATGATAATTCAATTGGTGTCACCATCTTGAAACACCGACTTCGGTGGCTTGGACATGTTCTCCGAATGTCGTCCCAGAGAATTCCACGTCGTGCATTATTTGCCGACTCTGGGACTGGTTGGAAGAAGCGGAGAGGTGGTCAGTGTATGACATGGTGTCGTGGCATGATAGAAAGCTGCAAAGGACTGGCTTGTGTTGGTCCTTCACGACTCCCTGGTTGGGGTCTGAGAGATGGTGCTACACAGTGGCTAGAGACGTTATCAGATATGGCTCAGAATAGAAGCCAGTGGCGATCCTGCTGTAACCTTCTTTTACTTTCTTCATAAAAAGTGGTTCTGTCTCCCTTACCTGAAAGATTTCTTCCGATTGTACCTTTGCGTTCCCTGATTACTAGCACACTACCTTACACCAATCTCTTCGTTATTGTTCTCTTTTTTCTGTGCTCCTTAGCTTTTTTTTCTTTCTTTGTATTCCTCTTCGAATTTTCATTGTTCTGTGTGGCGCATATATATTGGCGCTCTCTTGTACCAATATTCATGTGTCCAAATAAATAAAATAAATAAAACAAGATCCATGTATTTGCTTAACAAATGCCCTCAATTCAAAGATGCTGTTTATTTTAGTGACCTATTATCCACTGATGGAATTTTGAAGAGGTCTGATAAATATGTTTCATAAGAATCAAACCCTAATGACCTCATGTCTGGTGTCGCTAATCCTCATCATCTAGTCAGTTTTAGTGAACCCTCTACTCAATGCGCGAAATATGCTTTAAATAGAATCAGACTAACTGTTACTTGGGTATATGAAGACCCAACGTTATTTCGCGGGGGAGGACGGACGCAGAAAATCTTAAAATCGAGATATTAACTCCGGGTCTTTCAAAAAAGGGAGGTGTTAGTATAGTCGGAAAAATATACCAATAATTATCGTGTTAAGTCTATGGTGACCTTGGACCTTAAATGTACACTCCGTATTGGTCGATGTTTGTTTCACTTGTAAAATATTGTGTAAATGTTGTTTTCTATTTTATGGTACGATGTGGTTTGTTTGTTGGGTATATAAATAGAGTATGTCTGAAATAAAATGATTCATAACTCAGAGGCCGTAACTTTTGTTCTGGACTCAACTGGCTGGGATAGACAGGGAATCAGGGCACTAGGTTTTTCGTACGTGTTTTACACTGTCACCGAATCGATCAATAAAACACTGCTTATCAAAACCTGCAGTCACACCCGTTACAACAAAAATGGTCTTATGTTCATGAATAACTATCAAACAATCAGTCGAATTTGTTCCCATTGATTATCACCTATTGTTTATTTGAATCATTGTGTTCTGTTTTTATTAAATATCAACAATTTAATATTTATATTTAGTACTTACTTGTACTTTTCATATTGGTTATAATAAATTTTCTACATTATTCTTAAGACTGATAAAATACAAGATTTTCGATTACGGTTTTTGAAACTGTTAGCATCTGGTCGTAAAATTAATCGTTATTTAAATGAAAAATGGTTTACTGCTAAATCGGATGTTCTTAAAGAATTACAATATTTGGCATTTGATATTGTTGAACAATTGCCTGAAGTATTACTGGACAAAGTAAGTTATACACTTTTAAGTTTTATATAGGGGATAGCGAAATAGGTTGGTAATTAGTGATAAACAAGAAATGCATTATTATAGTATTCAATTCTTTCAGTTAGTAAGATCTCATAATGTTGTCACCTTGTTATATACACTACTTTACATGTCGATATATATATACATTGACGTAATTGTCTTTCAATATAATAGATTTAAGATAACGTTATTGCTCAAATATATTGAAAATAGAGTTTACAATCTTAAAAGTTTGTAGGATATTTTAGAAGTATTAAGGCAGATTAAAATTATTATAAATTTCTCTTGTTACCACCCAGCTATTCCTATCACTTAGTACTCTTGGATACCGATTCACTCGACAAGTTCCCCCAAATCAGAATATGGTTGTACAGGGAAAGAGATTATATTCCAAATAACAAAGGTAGATGGAAGTAAGAAGCACAACAAGAAAAGTGATAATATATTTATAGTTTTTATATGAGAAGATTCTAGCGTCCTCCGAGTATCGACTAGCGTTGATTGAATAAGAATTAAACAATCAGCGTGCACTAATGCAATCGTGCATGAAACATGCTTTAATCCAATCTATGTCCCGCTAATAAAGACCAACTTCAAATTAAAGATTTTAAGCAGTTATATTTTTATATTGTGAGTCCATAGTGCATTTCAGTTACATTGATTTCATGGCCACCATAATTATGTTACAGGCTATTGTATTTGGTGAATCATTACTTTTCTACTTAATTTTTCCGTGAATAAATCTGTGACTTCTTTTTACTTATCTCAGTCAGTCAGTCAGCTACAACGTAGGACCAGGCACATATGTGCATCGGTCCACGTTGCCATACCGCATCAGCACAACAAGATGAACACCGGATTCACAGCAGTGGTTAGGTTAAAGGTGGTAATATATAAGAGAAAGATTGCATATAGAGATATAGTACAAGAAGAAAGAATTGGTTCGTAGAAAGAAAGATATGAAGTGATTTTAATCTCATAGTTTAAGGGAAGACAGGGAGTGTATACACCGACGCCATTGTGACCGATTCTGAGCCATGTCACCAAGAGTCTCCAACCATTGGTTACGAAAGTCACGCGGACCCCAACCAAGTAGTCTGCATCTACCAACATGGCTCAGACTAGAAGTTAGTGTCTTCAAGCACTGATGCCACGTTTTGGTTTGGCCGCCCCTAACTTTCTTCCAACCATCTCCAACACCGGTTAGCATTGCACGTCGTGGTAATCGGTGTTCAGGCATACGTAACACGTGACCCAACCATCTCAGTCGATGAAGATTAACAAACTCGTCAACTGATTTACCATTATTCCCTAATACCCTGCGTCTAACCTCACTATTACTTACCCGGTGATCCCAGCAGATGCCAGCAATATTTCTAAGGCATCTGTGGTCAAATACTAATAGCTTACGAGTGTCTTCTACTCTTAATGGCCATGTTTCGCTGCCGTAAAGTAAAAAAGAGAACGGACTGCCGCGCAGTATACCCGTCCTTTTATTGATAGACGGATATCTCGCCTTCGCCAAAGGTGACGCAAGTTGGCAAAAGCCAAGCGAGCTTTTCGAATCCGTGCTGAGATTTCGTCAGACACCAACCCATTAGGGCTGATCAGACTTCCAAGATAAGTGAAGTTGTCAACGCGTTCGACTACTTCACTCCCTATCCTTAGTTCAGGTGTTGAAGCAGACCAGTCCTGAAGCAACAACTTGCATTTAGAGGGAGAGAAGCGCATTCCAAACATTCTGGCATTGTTGCTTAGTGCTACCAAAAGACTCTGCATTTTGTCAGCGTCTTCACCAAACAGGGCTATGTCATCTGCATATTCTAAGTCGATAAGTGGACCTCCTGGTAGGAGATCAATACCCGAGAATTCAGTCGACGAGAAAGTTATTTCCATCAGAAGATCTGTGATGAAGTTAAACAAAAATGGAGAAAGTGGACAGCCTTGACGGACACCACTTGAGGTTACAAAAGTAGATGACAGTTCGCCATAAGCTCTGACTCGACTAGTAGTGTTCGAGTAAAGAGCCTTTACAAGGTTTATGTACTTCTGTGGTACGCCTTTCAATGACAGACACTGCCACAGAATCTCGCGGTCTACGAACGGTTGTTCCAGCCAGTATAGCTCGGTTGCTTCATCACGATAGGCAAGCCCGACCACCACGTCAAGGTAGCAACAACGGTCGGGTTTTACTTATCTAGTTGTCCTATAATTTCGTTCTTATAAGAGAAAACCACTAAAAACTATATTGTTCTAGATCGTAGATTCCTCGTTTTCAGGGATACTTCAGAGTTTCCTGAATACATATACCTTCAAACTTCATGCTTTTTAGTGAGCATGCTAACCTTAAAGCTGCTTATCAAGCTTCCAGTAATTGATGTTTTAGTCATTAGTATGCTCATCATGATGCAGTTTATAATTTAATGCATTTGTTTAACCAATTGGTTGAGTTCAATAAGATCTAGTGGAGTTGTTTTAGGTTAGCCACCCATGAGTAGTATATTAAAAGTTGATTGACACTTCATTTATCAACTTCTGTATTTTCTAATTTATATTGTATTTGTAGAGCTCAAATATTCCGTGCTTGATCTCAACAAAGTTCACAGTTTTCATGTTAGTACCTTTCTATTATATCAAATATTCGAACATAAGTTATTTTTATTGTTCTTTCATTGAATGTTAACAGCAATAATTATATATTCTTATCTTTAGGTTGGATCAAATGAATGGGTGTATAATGATGTGATATTATTACGATTTAACACACTTCTGGCTTTAATTATACGTCAACAGTTCTTTGGCAAATCTACATGCACAGAAGAAGATATATTTGAAATCATGCATACTTACAACTCTCAATCATGTCCATCTCAGTTAATTTAGATGAATGGATTTCTGTTATTTTAATTACTTTTTTATGAACATCTATAAATTGTACTTAGTTTTATCTACAACTATTCAACATCACTTCTACGTTAGATTATTTATAAGATAAATATCCTTGTAAATCTTGATTTAGTATGAAAATAAAACCTTTAAAACCGCTGTGACTAAATAATTCTTATTAACTTACTAACACCTGTTACTCCCAGGGGAGCATCGGCTGCCGACCAGCGCTCTCTAACTCACTCTGTTCTGGGCCTTCCTTTCTAGTTCTATCCAATTTTTGTTCATTCTTCTCATGTCTGTCTCCATTTCATGGCGTAATGTGTTTTTTCGTCTTCCTCTCCTCCTTCGCCTTGAGGATTCCAATTGAGGGTTTGCCTTTTGACGCAGTTGGGTGCTTTCCTCAGTGTGCGTCCTATTTACTTCCAGCACTTCTTCCTCCACTGCGATCTGGTTTGTTTTCTCCCATAGTAGGTTGTTACTGATAGTGTCTGGCCAACGGATCCGAAGTATTTTGCGTAGATAACTGTTAATAAACACCTGTATGTTCTGGATGATGGCTTTCGTAGTTCTCCAAGTTTTTGCCCCATACAGTAGAACTGTCTTGACATTGGTATTGAAAATTCTGACTTTGGTGTTGGTTGACATACAGTTGTTTTGAGTTCCAGATGTTTTTCAGTTGTAAATATGCTACTCTTTCATTGCCGATCCGCTCCCTTATGTGTGTATCAGATCCATTGTGTTCATCAATGATGCTGCCCAGGTTATGTAAAGGTAGAAACAGTAATGCGATTACAGACAGTCGTTCACCTTGTAAGCAATAAAATACCACGTATTGTACAAAAATAACTATCCGCATGGATTTCTATTGCAGAACAATGTCCATATTTCTCCCTTTAAAATTTGTGTCGACAATATGTGCTTCTGTATGACTTCAAACTGATTCCCGAGGCATATGGTGCAATTTGTAAAATATAGGCCGAAAATCAAACCTAAACAGAATTCCCATTGACCTTATTTATATTTTGTGCACCAGCTCTATTTGGAACATGATGTTCGCTTGTGAAATTTATTTTTAGATTAACCATCTTTAAGTGGCTGGAAATGTTTTACATATTGGTGACTGATTTTTTGATTGATCTCCTGAAGTTCTAATACAGAGTGTTTTCCAAAGGGCCTATAATAAGTTTGATTGATAACATTAGATTATAGGAAGTTTGCAGTAGTCCATGAAAAAGCACGTTAGGCGTCCAGTGGTCCACAGATGTTTTCCTCAGTGCATTTTCATGTAAGATTAAATTAGGGATGAACTCAGTATCTGTAACATCTTTACTAAAGCGGCGGGATTAATTGGTTCAAATCATGATGAAACTTGTGTTCGTTGCAAACATAAAGTACCAAGACGTGTTTCTCGAAAAAAATGTTGGAAAAGAATGGTACGGTTTCCCAAGATTGCTGTTTACATAGTATGTGGATTCATGGTTTTAGTAAGACAGCCGATGATAATCAGAACTTGTTAAGACATCCTCCTGTATTCTGGAAGTATAATTTATGTGCAGAACTTTTATCGCAGGTTATGCTGAATGTTACTTTTCAACATTATGGACAAAGGCTCGAGAAAATAGACATCTTTGTGTTTGAACTGTCGGAATCCTACCGTTACCGATGACCAAACTCTTGAAAATAGACACACCTTGTTGACTGGGCCTCGATCATTTATTCGTGCAGATTTGTCACTTCATGTACATTGTCTGTTAGCGATATGTTGGTTGTCTGGTTTTGATAGGCTTTGTTTTATTCCGCGTTCAACGTTCTAGGATTCATTTATAAGCAATTGATGATTTGTTCGCTGTTGATGGGCATTTTTGGGTATTGGATTGCTCATATATATATCACCCGGATTCCGGGACCCGGTTGACTTTTATTATTAGATGTTTATCTGTGTTTTGTAATTACTTATCGGGGGTTAGTTGGGAGTGTTTGACAATCGTTGGATGTTTTTTGTTGTAACTGGGAGTTGGGTTTGTCTAATATGACATTTTCTTGGTCGTCCAAGAATGTAAGTATCGAGATAGTCTCCTTTCCATTGTTGTTAATATTGATGTATTTAGTTGTCCGTTTGGTAATCTGATAAGGTACTTCAACGTTTGACTTGTGGTTTTCGCACTGCATTGACATGAACAAAAATGGGTGCGCACGTACTCAAATGTTTCTCAAGCCTTGCATCTCGGTTATGCTCTCGTAGAAATCCCGGTTTAATCTGCTACATAGTCTGTAACAGTTAATTTGCAAAGTTTGGATTGACTGGTGTTTTATTTTCAGAGGTGACCAACTGTCCTAGAACCATAATTGTGGTAAACTTGTTCATCTGATCCAAAGAAGGGCAAATGTTGGGATGGCACTCTATTATATCATATTGAGACAGGCGAGCATTTTATTTGGCTGTGGGATTATTTGGCCAAGCTATTCAGTGTCGGGTGGTATGTAACTATTAATTAATTAATTCGAATCGCTCCTGATAGTCTGGTAAATTCGTGGGATATAATGGATAATTGTAAAGCAGTCTGATAATGATTAATGGTATACCGTATTTTGCTATCCGGTGGTGTATTATGATGATGCTGAAAAATTGGTTAGTGAAGTTGGGTCAACTGTGATGAACAAACTGAATTATGACTAGTTAATCCCTTTAGTTAGGAGTACTGCAATTCGAGTATATTCAGATGAATTAAAGCCCTAAGTGTGGCAAGTGTTAAATAAACGATACTAAAAACGAAAGAGATTAAGTAACCGGAAGCAATTGAAGATTATGTAGATCTAAATACCATAAAATGGGTACAGTGCTTCTAGTTTTTGTGATCATGTCCGTTCAACTTTCAAAGTAATGAGCCAACCACTTCTTTTAGTTGTGCGAGTCCATGTAGCTTTCAAAAGAATTTCCAATTATGAAGTAATGTCCGCTTTAGGTCAAAAAACGTAAGCCAGAGTCATGAGAAAACAACACCAGTACGATCGGTTAGCTACTTCCAGGCAGATTGAGGTTATTTTGCCATCTTCACGTTTGCTGATCAGAGACTACACTTCCTCTTTTGTGATGTTTGTCTCTCGTACGGTTGTAGTGCGTCTTAATATTTTTTTTACTTCAAGCTCGTTTCTGTACACTTTTTAAAATACCATTATTCTTCTAGCACTGTGTTAGGAGGAAATCAGACATTCGAAGCTTCTGTATTGGAAACCAAATATCCACTTATCTTACCAAACTGCTATAAAGTTAATTATTGGTACAGTTTCTAAGATCCTGGTTAGAAGATATGTAGATTTCGAAAGGTAAGGATGGGTAGCTAACCACAATCTATGAGAGAAAAGTGTTTAAAACTGTCAATTTTAAGGGAAGGTAATACGTAATTGAGAAGAAACTGTTGAATTCTAATAAATTTGAGATATAAAGATGTTCAAACTGATATGTTATAAACTAGAATGGAAATCGTATGTAAAATCTATTCATTCTTTAAGAGATGGAACTACATGTTATATCTAAAATTTATTTTGTGGAATTTTTGTTAAAAAAAACAATAAGCACATGGATAAGCATGTCAATGTACCTTTATTTGTTTCTTAATAATATGTAGATAAATACATTTGAAAAAAACTACTGTTACTTTTTCGATGCGGCAAAAGTTAAAAATGCGACAAATTTATGGTAAAACGCAGGAAATTAGATAACAATTAGTATGCTTGTAGAATGTCCTAAACGTCATAGCCTCTCTAGAGACCTTAGACTCTTCTCCTACCACGTCGTGTCCGGCTGGTTTTCAGATACCAGGTACGTCTCATAATGACCGTACTCCTTTGGGGAGGGCTTCGGAGTTTTGAAGGCTGTATCGTTCGATCTTATGGCGTGAGTTTACAAAGTTTTTACGCTCATAGTAATTGACATTTATCTAATCGACGCCAATTTTATCTTTACTTCCGTTCTTATCAGTTTTATAGTACTTGACCTTATGATGAAAGACTTTTTGGGGTTCTTTGTACTCAGTTTCGGCAGGTTGGAGTGATGAGTTGCGGTGTACAAAAACATGTGAACGAAATCTTAAGACAGGTTGAAGAGAAACATCAGCTATCTGCGGTCGAGTGGAAATCAGTTTAACTAAAAGCATGATGTTTGTAAGCCGGCTCGTGTAGGAATTCAAATCCATATTTTTCGAACAAGGTAAAGGATCTACAAACTTTCCTGTAAGCCGAAGTTTCGTATCCTACTACGTATCGAAATTCAGCCCTCACCATATTGCGAATACCGAGTAACGAAATTGACAGGCCGGCTGTCCTTTATTAATCCTCGAAGCTTTTTCAAGTGAGGTCCAGCTTCTCCGTGGAAATGTTCACTGGTGGGGCTGATAGTACGTGGATGAGAGCATAGTTTACGGACGACCTTTGAGCGATGCTAAAGTGACCTAGAGTATGTTAACCTACTTCCTAGGGTTATAAATCTCTGTGAGGAATTAAAATTATGATTCACAGTTGATAATAAGGGTTAAGTGCTAGATTCGGGGTTCTCACCACTAACCAACATGAGCTAAAATACCCAAACGCTAGTCAGACATACGTTTAGATGAATTTCGCCCCAAAATTTGAAACCTGTCATCGTGAATCTGATTGGTACGTCCGTAAGTTATAATCTCATTGATCACGGGTTTCATACCTTCGTGCTATGTTTTTGGAGATGATTACTGCTGGACAGAGCAAAGAATTATACCCAAATAGTTATTAAAGATTCGCATCGCTAATATAAGTTTGTAGTGGCATTGGACAATAGCCACACAATCCACAAAGCTGTGAACACGAGACTACTCAGAAAATAGATATTCAATATTTAACTCGGGGAAATACCTAACAATGGAGAAGGCGCGAACAATGAATTGAATGGACTAGGTTTAATCGGATGGCATGGCTCGTTCATGCAGGCGTGGTCCATCTCAATGTTACTTTATATCTTCTAT